CGGTGCGATGTGCAGAATCGGATCGCATGGGTGTGAATACCCATCCAGTCCGAATCTAGTGCGTACCAAAAAAGGGTCCTGCACCTTTTTGGTGCAGATGTGGTGCAATTGGAACCGTACAAAATCGCACAGCACAGAATTCGCATGTGATTTGCACAGGAATGCAGTGCGGTTTCTCGGCGAATCACATGCAATATACCGCAAAAGTGTGAACGCAGGCTTTAAAAATCTCATCGCCAGTTAAAATAAAACTAAAATCTTTGATTACACACCTGTCCCAAGTCCGCTTTCTTCTGGTCTGTAGTGCTGCAGTGTATACATTGCTTCCTGCTGATATGAGACTGCACATTTGCTGCCAGTAGTGTCATTACAGGGCTCTCACAGTATCCTAAGGAGTGCTCACAGGGTCCTAAAGGCTTTCAGTGGTGACAACATAATGCCATAATGCGAGGGCAGCAAGAAGATCAGTTAGCTGGCCTAGAGTGCAGCTTTTGATCTCCCCATTCTAGTCCTGAAAGAGGCATCATGGATGGGACAGAAGCACTTAGAAGCATTTCTTTTTTTCTTTCTTACAAATGTCTAGATAGGCGGTTGGAGTCACATTGGGATTTTTTTTTCCCTAGAGTTAGGAGCTAATAGTCTGCTCCAGGTATTCCCTTTTCCAAAGTGAATGTCCATTCACATACCCTTAGTATTATGTTGAAGGACATTTATCTACAGACTGCAGCAGGAAAGTGAAGTGTGTTACATCAGATATCATCTTTAGCCTGTAATGAAAGGTTAAGTCAATTGGACCGTATTTAATTTGCGCTTTTCTCTTGGTGCCTTCCTTTTTAGACCTGTTCTTGGGGTTATTTGGGGCACTGATTCTAGCGTTGGCTAGACTGAGTCAGCTCTTGTTTCCTATATATGGTTGAATTTACAGAACTTTTTCATCAGTTTTTGAAAAGATCTTGCTGATCAGCTTGCTCTTCTGTTGCCTAGTTTGGCAGATATAGTGAGAGTGTTTACATACTTCCATCTGTAATTTTACATCGGAAACATTGGATTCTAATGTTTACAATATTATTAGTATTATAGTTATGATGAGTTTTGGTGAGTTTTGCTGCTTTGTGGGGTTGTAGATGTGTGGCATTTTACTTTTATTCTTATAGTTCTGATCATAAAGGAGGTGTGTGTATATTGCCACTCATATCATTTAATTTTTGCAGACTGAACACTGTAGAGGTTATGTCTACTTTTTCATGTGTTTCTTTCATGCTACAAGGAGATGAAATAAAACAGAAAGGCACAATAAAGCAATAAAATATCCTGATTTTCAACAGGTTCCTGGAGTGAAGAGTGATATATGGCATTTATGGTGTATCTCAAAAACTAGGAAAAATAGGTGCCATTTTTGGAATCAGCGGGTCAGATATTCCCAGGAACAGGTCTAACACACCATGTGTGTTGACCTGTGTTATAATTTGATGTGGTAATATATGTTTTTATGGAAAAGAAAAGAAAAAATGCATGCTTAAAGTATAACTAAAGCCATCATTTTTTTTTTTTAGCTTTGGATAGACTGGGAAGGATTAGTACACTTGTCAAGTTTTTACTGCTGTTTATGCCCTGTTAGGGAGATTCCCATCTCTATTAGTCCTGTTTACCATTATCAGTGAAAGTGAAAGAAAATCCTAAATTTTGGGTTTTCCTCAGAACAGGACTAGTGTGGATATTTTCCAATGGGGATGCAACTTCTGGTTACCCTGGTACCAGTCAAGGATCTCCTCATTTTAGAGGGATTTTCTTTCACTTCTTGTTTTGGCTATGGGACAGGAAGTGGAGGTAAATATCCCCCTGGGGACACAGATGGCAAATAACTAAACTGTACAGGGGTAATAACCCTCCTGTACTTTATCCAAAATTGAAAAAAGTTTTAGTTCTACTTTAAATGTTCCTGTAATCATTACAAACTCAATCTCCTTACCAGGGGTGGACTGACAACTCATGGGGCCCTCGGGCAATAGGGGATCATGGGGCCCCTGTGTCCTCGCTCACACTCAAACCACACCCAAAAAAAGCCTATGAAAGGTACCAGGGGCATCTCATGGGGCCCCCTACTGACCCCGGGCCTTCAGGCAGTGCTCATGATCCCAAATGACGTGTAAAGGACAGAATAACAATCCTAATATGAATACTCGGTCTAATATTGCACTGCCCTTCACAGCAACATTGTAATTATGCATGATTCTGACCACTCAGAAAATACAGGGATGTTTCCCAGCACATACAGACTGGAAGCAGGGGTGTATTTACCACAAAGCAAACAAGACACTTGCCTAGGGTGGCAGTTTTTAGGGGGGCAGCACCTCCCCCCAGAAGAAGGGATGAAAGAAGGGACACGATCTCTATGAGAACCAGGTGGGATTTGAGAGAGGCTGCAAGCTGCTTGATGGTGTATGTAGAGCCTGACTCTCGCTCCTGGGGATGCCCGGAGCTGTGAAGATGAGCGTCTTTTTCTCTATTGCCGGGAGGGGGGCGGTGGTAGTGGAAGGCTCTCCCGGGTGGATGGCAGGAGTGTTGTTGGTCAATTTCAGGAATGTCAGGCTCTCTCCACAGGTGGGGGAAGGGGAGGGGGTGTTGGTCGGTGTCCGTGGGGGTAAATGATTTTTTGTGTTGCCTAGGGCAGCACAAAACCTAAATACATTACTGACTGGAAGGATGTTATTCCCAGCCTAATGGTCCCTCAAACGTTCTACTCAATCTGGTGACAAAGAATCTTGGGTAAAATATCTAAAACATATATAACCAGCTCTGGACATTTGCCCTGATGATGGATTTTCTATGGCTGGAGATGCACTTACAGACCTGAAAATATCTACATTTGTGGATTTAAGCTGCCATCTTGGGAGAGACCCAATTCTTTTAACAGATCAGCAATCTCAATTAGCTGAGCTACAGTAATAGTTGGACCCAATTATGCCCATTAAGCCTACAAGCAATTACCTACCCCTCTTCTATTATGCTGAGATGTGACCTAAATTACTGAAATACATATTTGATTCTCAAAAGATATAGCTGGTTTATTTATTTCAAGTACTTATATAGTGCCATCAATTTACGCAGCGCTTTACATATATATTGTACATTCACATCAGTCCCTGACCCTCAAGGGGTGTACAATCTAAGGTCCCTAACTTAAATTCATACATACACATACTAGGGCCAATTTAGACAGGATTCAGGTAACCTACTGGTATGTCTTTTGGAGTGTGAGAGGAAACCGGTGTACCTGGAGGAAACCCACGCAGGCACAGGGATAACATGCAAACTGCAGGCAGGTGGTGCTGTGGTTGAACCAATGACCCTAGTACTGCCAGGCAGAAGTGCTAACCATTTAGCCGCTGTGCTGCTCAGTGGTTCCATGCTGGGCCACTGATAAGACAGTACCACCTGGCACTGTTATACCCAGACCCGGCCCCATCAGCTCAACGGGGGGGGGGGGGAAGCTTTATAATTAATTTCTGGCTAAATAAATAAAAGGCTTTTACTAAACCACACCCTTGCTCCTTCTGGCTTTCCAGGGTGTAATTACATTTTCCTGGGCCCTATCAGGTCAACAGAGGGGTCCTGGAAGTAGGAGCAGAGCAGGGATTTTGTTTCCTTTTTTGGGGCTCAGTCAGATAAGCCCGTGCCGCACTATGCCCTGCACATGTTATATAGCTCCGTCCGTGACTGCACACTCCTTGTACCATCCCTGGCAGAGTGATTAATTTGTACACTGTTCCCTCAGTAAGTGCGGTGGACTAAGGGAGAGACCTAAGTGAGGTGGGAAGGCTGCTGACAGGACACAGGAGGTCTAATCTGGTGGCATGTGACAGTGCACAGCTTCAGGCAAGCGGCGGCACACAGTGGACACACTGACTCAGGCTACTGTGGAAGGAAGGTACAGTCCCCTGACTCCCCACTGTATACTTATGATCATCATCATTATGATGAACACAGCGGGTGCTGGATGGCTCTGTCACAGTATTCACTTGGCTGTCGGGTGCTGACTTTGTTAACTCATGGCTGTACTGTGCCCCATGATTCCCAACAGCAGCCCTGGTTTCATGTGTCTTTCCCGAGGCAGTTGTTTTAGGTTCCCTGAGCATTTTATAATATAAGAGGGCACAGACCACTAGCTGGAATCAGACTATGGCAATGTATCTATCGGGGTCCAATACTCACAGACCACTGATAGGGGAAAAAGGGACACATTTCAGGAAAAATTTCACTGATAGTAAGTAAGATACTACGACTAATGCCTCTACTTAATATATCCACCAGATTTGTATGTCATTTTAATTTTGACCCCTTAAGAGGTTTGGAAAGATGGGATGCATATTCCCTGATAATGACCACTGTGATTGGCTGTTGCAGAAGTCATATGATCAGAAGCCCTGCTCACTGACTTTCAATCGTAAATGGGGACCAGCAACTGGTGGTGAAAGCTTGGTTGCTGTGCTGATAGCACCCAGTGAGTGTGCTCTTTGGCTGCCCATACATTATACAATTTTCTTGAGAATTTTGCTTTAGATTTACCAAAAACCTAAACAACACTTTCAATTGTATCCAATTAAGCAGGCCCTTGCACTACATAGTTGAAGGTAAATCTAAAGGAAATTGGTCAGAAAATTGTAAGAAATTTCCTGTATAGTGTATGGCCAGCCTAAGTACAGAAGAGTGGAGCCAGCTGATACATATTATTATACAGCCAGGATTACAACCCACCCGCTGTGCTGAAGCATATGTGCATTATACTAACCAGAAGAGGTTGTATATATAGAGTATAATACAGTATAAAAGATTCTACAGCACACTGAACAAAGGTTTTTGTTGCATATCATTTTTGTGTTTATTCTGCTTTATAATAATGTTTTTTTTTTCTTTACTTGTTTTATGATATTCAATTTAATCCATTTGCCTGTTCTATAGCTGTTATATTATTTTAATTGGGGTAATGTTTATATTTTATTTTAGCTCAGGTGTCTTTGCAAAACAAAGGAATTCAAATTAGTGAAGGAGGACTTACTGGTACATACACAGCTGCGCAGCTTCACTTTCACTGGGGTAGCAGTGGTATGCCTGGATCAGAGCACAGCATAGATGGAGAAAGATACGCGGCTGAGGTAGGAAATCCTAGCTCACCTATTCCTTATCCGAAGGCAAAACATTGTATTTTGTGAATGTAACATAAGAAATGGTCCAGACATTTCATAGTATTCTATGTCGTTAAATAGTTTTAGACTTTCTAAAAGGATTACTGCACCAAAAACTGATACTTCCGTTTTAGGTAAATGCTGGTAAGCTGGATCATCTTTAATTGATTCTTGTATCTGATTTACACCTAGGCTGATCCACATTCAAGTTATGTTTTCTCATTTAACCACATTAAATCACGTTACATCATGGTGGCTGCGATAACAGAATTTAGCTCCCATTCTTTGCAGTGTGCTGCATTACTGCCAGGGGCGGACTGACCATTGGGGAACTCGGGCACTGCCCGAGGGCCCGGGGTCAGTAGGGGGCCCCATGAGATGTCCCTGGTACCTTTCATAGGCTTTTTCATAGGCTTTTTTGGGTGTGATTTGAGTGTGGGCGAGGACACAGGGGCCCCATGATCCCCTATTGCCCGGGGATGTGAGTTGTCAGTCCGCCCTGATTACTGCATTTGCATTTTAAGTGTGTTGCTTTAGAAAGCTTCATTTTATAAGGACCACAACACACCAAAGATACTGCATGCAGGGGCGGACTGACCATTTGGAAACTCGGGCACTTCCCAAGGGCCCGGGGTCAGTAGGGGGCCCCATGAGATGCCCCTGGTACCTTTTTCATGTTTTTTTGAGTCTGGGCAAGGACACAGGGGTCCCATGATCCCCTATTGCCCGGGGGCCCTATGAGTTGTCAGTCCGCCCCTGACTGCATGCTTAACTTCTCTTAACACAACACATTGCAATGCACAGATTGTGTATACCTGCATGTGTTTCCTGCAGTGTTGTATTAGTGCATTGGGACGCTGTTCAAAATGAATGACAGTACAACACACTGCACTGCAAGACACTCATTGTTGTGCATTTTACAGTGCATTAACCACTTCCCGTCCGGCCCATGTATATAAACGGCCGGACAGTGGCAGTGCAGGTGCGGGTTGCCGTTCATAAACGGTGCCCTCCATTTTGGACTGTGCGCGCTCGCTGGGAACGCGCTGCACCGCGATCCGGGGCCCACTGTGTCCGACGGGTCTGAAGGATCCGATCACTGTACAGGACCTCTGTGTGAGGTCTCAATCATGTGATCACTGATTGGCCAATCAGTGATCACATGAATAGGAGTAAGCAAGATGTAACTTCTGACATCATTGCTTACTACGTGTGAAATCTGTGATTGATCACAGAGATCACATGGTAGAAGGCTATTCACAACAGCCTTGTACCATGTGACAAGCTGTGACCAATCACAGCTCACACAGTATTTCTCAATGGCTGCAAGAATGCAGCCAGAGAGAAGGAGAAATTATTGCTTTTACAGCCTTTATGGGTGCAAAAGCAACCAGTGTAAAAAAAAATCTTCATCACCTCCCACAAGTAGTACAGTGTCACTATGGTGACACTGTACTGCTAGGTTGACAGTATGTTAAAAAAAAATAATAATATAAAAAAAATAAATATGTAAAAAACATTTTTTGAAAATTTATAATTTTTGGTTATAAACTAATTTGGGTTATTTTTTTTTACTAAAAAGATAACTGAATACATGTTGGCCAAGATTTATGAAGAAAGATTATTTATTTGCAAAATTTTATAAGAAAACACTTTTTAAAATTTTTGGACTTTTTCATTTATATAGCAAAAAAAAAATCCCAGTGGTGAATAAATACCACCAAAATAAAGTTTTATCTGTCTCCAAATAATGCTAAAACATTCATATGGGTACAGTGTTGCATGACCGCACAATTGTCATTCAAAGTGTGATAGCACTGAAAGCTGAAAATTGGCCTGGACAGGAAGGGGGTGAAAGTGTCTGGACATGAAGTGGTTAAAGAAATTCACTTGTGTGAATGGGGCCTTTCTGTTTTTTCTGTAAGGAGAAGTGATATTTCACACCCAGAGGTGGCAGATTTGTCTACTCCAACAGGAAGATCTCACCAATGAAAAACGTTAGAAATATGAGCAGCCTGAGAATGATTCAACTTTCCACCATTTACACATAACTAAAACTGTATTTGTTTATATGTAACTTATTGGTGTGAAATAAGTATTGTAATGATTCTTTCAGATATGGTTTGATGTGAAAACACATTTATGCTATTTTTTTAAACTCTTGCTGTCATTGTTTAAATATCAGCAGTTGAAAATTAGTAGTTTAGATGCCTGTTATTTAAAACGTATCTAACTAAAAAATAAATATATAATACATTGCAGCATACCAGTCCTTAGGCTCCATGCACACTGGACTTTTTAATAACGCTGGTAACATTAGCTGTGTAAAGTCACGTTAACTTGAGTTTTTCAGTGTTTTTTTAGCATTTTGCATTAGCGTTTGGCGGCATTTTCCGCCTTTTTCTTTGCATTCGCGTTTTTTTTCAGCATCTTTTAGCTTTTTTTTTTACTCAAAAAGTCTAAAAACGCTGGTTTTCCGCGTTTTACCACGTTTTTCAGTGTTAGAGCGGTTTTTTTTACAGCTAAAAAAACTCCTCTAGAAACCCATTAGTTCTGGGGGTTTTTTTCAGCCAAAAAACGTTCCAGCCAAAAAATGTTGATTACAGTCTATGTGTACATGGACACATAGGATAACATGCTGGGGAGTTTATTGGCTGTAGAAAAAAACACCAAAAGCCAAAAACATCAGCTGTAAAAACGTCCAGTGTGCATGAGGACTTAGAAGTAGTGGCTGCATTCATTTTCTTTTTTCAGGCTCTTTTTTCTTTTTTCTCTATTTCACCTAGTTATACAGTGAATTTGCCTTTCCTCATCTCTATTACATGGTGAAATGATAGGCCTAGTATTTTTCTAAAGATCAAATTTCTCACTTCCTAAGGTCCTCGTGCCCAGACTAATCAGAATTTCTATCGCTTTCTCCTTATGGTGCACTAATGACAAGGGCCAGAGAGGTGGAGTATCTCTAATCTACCTTCTGTTACTTCACTCTCCATTGAAATTACCATACATGGGGGAGTGAGACAAGAATCTGTCAGTTGACTTGATTTGGAAAAAATGGCATGATTGCTTTTGTTCTTCCCGCTGAGGTATCTTGAATATCTCCCTAATTCAAAAAACCTGAAGGTACTTACCAGATGGTACCTTGTCCCCTCCTTCCTAGCTAAAACGTACTTTGGCTCATCCCTGTTCTGTTTTTGAGGATGTGCTCTGAATAAACTCTATGCTCCACATAAGTGGGAGCCTCATAAAATCAGAGGGTTTTGGAAAATAATTTTTCACGTGCCAAGGTATACAACAACAGCTCCATTTCGCTTTACTAAATAAACCTATACTTCAACGGGTTAAAAAAAAAAAAAAAAAACCTATACTTGGTGCTCTTCACAGTTTGCAGAGATTGACATCTTTTATTTTCCTTGCGGCTAAAAGCAAGAAAACGGGAGCATGGAAAAAACCCTCTGTCTTTATACCTTACACTAAACATAATATCTTGTGGATTATGATCCACGAGAAGATTGCCAGTGTGATCAACAATAAGATGAAGCAATTTTAAAAACACGGGAGCCCTGGGCTACATATGTGAATGTCCAGCTCTAAGATTCATTAACTCCAGACTTGAACAATAATGAAGATCTCTAGTTGTCAGGAATGGACTCAGCACTGGTGGTGGGACTCACCTGCCGTGTGGGCTGCAGTACCAGGGCTGACCAGCGGGTGCTCTCAGCAGCCAGAAGCTCACTTCTGCAATCAGCCAAACCTGGGGCTGATTGCAGAAGGTGTATTTAAGGCATGACCAGGCCTGTGATCTGGGCCTTGGTGTGATGTCAGGAATCTAGGAATGACCAGAAAGGTGTGGACTGACACAGGGAAACGCAGGTCTCAGGTACAGTATAATACAGTTTATTATTAGCCACCCAGATATATATATATATATAAAACGCACAGTGAGCAAACCGACCTTCCACTAATCTTAGGAGGTGCAGGAACACAGGCGTAGTCAGGGCTGGAGAGGTGGAACGGTCAGGCCGGCCGTAGGGTTCTGTAATGACCGTTTGGTGGTACCTCTAGCGGTCCCCAGGACAGGATTCCCCAGGGCACGGAGTCTAAGTCCCAGTCTGCTTATTCACCAGGGCCCTTGATGGTGGGGATGGACTTGGAGCAGACAGGAACCAGGTCGCGGCCCCTGAGTACACCTGCTAGTGGTAGAGGGATCCGCCAGAGGTATGTGCAGGTAGAAAGCCTGATGTGAAGAGGCAGAAGGTGTGAGCAGGGACGGCTGGATCCGTGCAGGATGGATGGATGGCAGAGTAGTTAGCGTGGTCAGACGGGCCAGGTCAGCAATGTGCGGGCAGCAAGGTACCAAAGGAGCAGGCAGAGAATAGTCAAGGTCACAAGCTGGGTTCAGTAACTCACGGGCTGCGCGGTACAGGGGATCAGGCAGAAGGATGGTCAGGCAAGCCAGGGGTTCAACAGGAGATGGTCAGCAGAGGTCAGGATCAAGCAGGGTCAGCAACGAAGCAGGAACACAGGATACCAGGTACAGAGGCTCATGGGAAAACATACACCAAGGCCCAGATCACAGGCCTGGTCATGCCTTAAATACCCCTTCTGCAATCAGCCCCAGGTTTGGCTGATTGCAGAAGTGAGCTTCTGGCTGCTGAGAGCACCCGCTGGTCAGCCCTGGTACTGCAGCCCACACGGCAGGTGAGTCCCACCACCAGTGCTGAGTCCATTCCTGACACTAGTGCTGTATTTCTTTCTGAATCATTTTAAATTCTTTCTTTTCCACTCCTTCCTTCCCTTGTTTTTTCTTCTTACGGTAATAATTTACTTACTGCAAAAAACCTAGCAATAATTTAATTTATATGACATTACTGTGTACAGTGGCAGACATGGAAGTGTGCCCATAGACATTGGATAAAGATTCAATATCTAAAATGTTTTTCCTAACCAAGCATATTACAAAAATTTTCTATTTTTGTAATTTATACAGATGAATATGAATTATTATGTGTGTTTATAATATATATATATATATATATATATATATATATATATATATAGCTATCCCTGGAGGAGCTACTTGTATTTTTGCCCAGGTTTCCCCCTTTCTTCAACCTGTAGCCAGGCACAAAGTATTCTCCACAGCCAGGTACACACACACTTGCTCGTTGTCTTCAATGACCAGTCTAGGGGATGTTTGTTTTTAGAGTTTTATTGTAGAACTGGGGGTAGGAATAAGGGATTTAGTGGGATACTCCAAAATTAGAACTTTTCACACTGAGGATAGCCAGCTGATCTCTTAATTGAGCACCATTGAAGTCCTGGCTGAAAACAGATAGCAGACTTCTCTTTAAAATGGTTCCAACAAGTAGTTTAGGAGTGAGCAAAGTCCCTTTTGTAGTAGTAGTAGTTGCAGGGCTGAGCTCCTCAAATACAGACCTGTTACTGCAGACTGTGGCAGTCCAGAAGTAATACAACTGAGCAAAGTCCTTTGCAGTAGTATCAGTTGGACAAGCTCTTCAGAACACTAACCAGTGTTCCCTTTATCTCAGACCCACGCTATCAAGCACACAGAGTCCCTGAGAACTCTCAGTGTCTGTACTCACAAGCACAAGGACAGAATGGTTGCCTCCTTCCAAGCTTTCAAGCTACTCTCTCCAGTGATACCAGACAGATCTTTTGCAGATGGCTCTCCTCAGTCAGCTTACTTTAGAACCAGGGTCATTCTCTCTAACTTTAGGCCTTCAGGGCACCCACCTGAGGCTCACATGGAAGCAAGTGCCAGGTGAGGCAAGCCTGCCTGCAGCCTGGCTTGGTGCAATCCACTCCAGAGAAAGACACCGAATCCATGTGCTCACAGAACATAAATACCACTCCCAGCATGCAATGGGGCCACCCTTCCCTGCAATTGGCTAAGGCTGTATCCATATTCTTGTTGTTCATTTGCCGAGTCCATTCCCATGTTGTGGAAGGCTCACATAGCTTCTAGAAGGCGGACAGAACTCAGACAAACTCAAACAGCATCAGAGCTTCATGAGCAGACCTAACTAATCAATCGCAATATTCTGGTAAGCAGAGAGCCCAAGTAGATTTTCCTAACAGTCTCTCTGTTAAGCAGAGAAACACACTATACTTATCCTATCTATACAAATCCTAGCACCTAACTAGAAGGGTGATATATATATATATATATATATATATATATATATAATATATACACACACACACACTGTATTGCCAAAAGTATTGGGGCACCCTTCCAAATCATTGAATTCAGGTATTCCACTCACCTCCATGGCCACAGGTGTATTAAAAAATCAAGCACCTAGGTATGCAGACTGCTACTACAAACATTTGTGAAAGAATACATCGCTCTTAGGAGCTCAGTGAATTCAAGCATGGTACCGAGATAGGTTGCCACCTGTGCAATAGGTCCATGCGTGACATTGTTTTGCTACTAAATATTCCATGGTCAACTGTTAGTGATATTGTAACAAAATGAAGAAACTGGGAACAACAGCCACTCAGCCACGAAGTGGTAGGCTACGTAAAATGACAGAGTGGGGTCAGCGCATGCTGAAGCACACAGTGCACAGAAGTCACCAACTGTCTGCAGAGTCAATAGCTAATGACCTCCAAACTTTGTGTGGCTTTGAGATTAGCACAACAACAGTGCGTAGAGATCTTCCTGGCATGGGTTTCCATGGCCGAGCAGCTGCATCAAAGGCTTACATCACCAAGTGCAATGCAAAGCGTCGAATGCAGTGGTGTAAAGCACACCACCACTAGACTCTAGAGGAGTGGAGATGTGTTCTCTGTAGTGATGAATCACACTTCTCTGCCTGGCAATCTGATAGACATGTCTGGGTTTGGCGGTTGCCAGGAGAGCGGCACTTGCCTGACTGCATTGTGCCAAGTGTAAAGTGTGGTGGAGGGGGGATAATGGTGTGGGGTTGTTTTTCAGGGGTTGGACTTGGCCACTTAGTGACCAGTGCACAAAGCAAGGTCCATAGAGACATGGATGTGTAAGTTTGGGGTGGAGGAATTTGACTGGCCTGCACAGAATCCTGACCTCAACCCGACAGAACACCTTTGGGATGAATTAAAGCGAAGACTGTGAGCCAGGCCTTCTTGTCCGACATCATGCCTGACCTCACAAATGCGCTTCTGGAAGAATGGTCAAACATTCCCATAGACACACTCCTAAACCTTGTGGACAGCCTTCCCAGAAGAGTTAAAACTGTTCTAGCTGCAAAGGGTGGGCCAACTCAATATTGAACTCAACTCAACTCAAGACTGGGATGTCATTATGTTCATGTGCATGTAAAGGCAGGCATCCCAATACATTTGGCAATATAGTGTGTGTATATATATATATATATATATATGTGTGTGTGTGTGTGTATATATATATATATATATATATATATATATATATATATATATATATATATATGGGGGGGGTTTTCATAATTTTTTTTATTTATTATTAATTTTCATTTTATATGTGCCTCTTCTGGTCCTCAGGTGGCAAGCAAGGGTTCTCTCCAAGTACAAATTAGGTCCTCTAGCTCTTCAGTCTACAGGATTAGTCAACCAGTACAGAACTAGTGATAGGCTGTCTTTTAAGAAATCCCAGCATTTTCTGTAGCTTTAAATCACCCTGCTTATGTTTATGGATAAAATATGAATTTTATAAACTAACTTGACACATAATCATTTTTAATCTTATAGCCATTAGAGTTTCTTTCAAATGTTTAACTAGTTGCCGACCGCAGATAGCCGAATGACGGCTGCACTGCGGCCGGCCAGTTCTGGGTGGACGTCATATGACGTCCCCCCAGAATGCGCTCTGGGGCGCGCACCCGGCGATCTCCGTGATCGCTGTGTCCTACGGACACAGCTGATCACGTGATGTGGTAAAAGGCCAATCATACCGGCCTTTTACCACGTGATCAGCGGTGTCCAATGACACGCTGATCACAGGGAAATGCAAGTGCCGGTTCTCGGCTGCACTTTCCTCACGCTGTCAGATCGTGAGGAAAGTACTGCCGAGAAACGGCAGTTGTCAGAGCGAGGATCGGCACCGATCATCAGGCCCTGATGATCGGTGCCCAGCAGTGCCACCCACAAGTTCCGCCCACCTGTGCCCAGCAGTGCGCCCACTACCTCCGCCCACCTGTGCCCAGCAGATCACCCACCTGTGCCCAGCAGATCACCCACCTGTGCCCAGCAGTGCACCCACCTGTGCCCAGCAGTGCACCCACCTGTGCCACTCTGCAGTGTCACACACCTGTGCCCAGAAGTGCCACCTACCTGTGCCCAGCAGTGCCACCCACCTGTGCCCACCTGTGCCCACCCACCAGTGCTGCCCACCAGTGCCACCCACCAGTGCAGCCCAGCAGTGCTGCCAGTCAGTGCCACCAGTCAGTGCTCAGCGGTTGTGCCAGTCAGTGCCGCCAGTCAGTGCCCAGCAGTGATGCCAGTCAGTGCCGTCTATCAGTACCCATCATCAATGTCACCTATCAGTGCCGCCTATCAGTGCTGCATATTAGTGCTGCCTATCCGTGACACCTCATTAGTGCTGCCTATCAGTGCCGCCTTTAGTGCTGCCACCTATCAGTGTGCCCATCAGTGCCCTTTAGTGCCGCCTATCAGTGCCCATCAGTGCCGCCTATCAGTGCCCATCAGTGCTGCCTCATCAACGCACATCAGTGAAGGAGAAAAATTACCTGTTTGAAAAATTTTATAATAGAAACAAAGAAACTTTTTTTTTTTTTTTCAAATTTTTTGCACTTTTTTAATTTATAGCGCAAAAAGTAAAGCGCCCAGTGGCGATTAAATACCACCAAAAGAAAGCTCTATTTGTGAGAAAAAAATTATCAAAATTTCATATGGGTACAATGTTGCATGACCGCGCAATTGTCAATCAAAGTGCGGCAGCGCTGAAAGCTGAAAATTGGCCTGGTAAATAAGGGGGTATAAGTGCCTGGTAGGCAAGTGGTTAAATAAATTTGGGAAGCTTTTTGTTTACAAAAAAGAAAAACAGAAATAAAACACTAATACAATGCTGCCTCTGTGATTCAGCTTCATATAGTTCACACAAAAGATTCCAGCGGCCGGTCAGAATCTGGAGGAGCAACTACTGGGACAGAAAGAACAATTGCTGTACTTGGATTCTTCATTGAAGTAGGTTTGATATATAAATTATTCTGATAGTATGTATTTCCTAATGTATTAAGAATGTGTATTTTCAGATGGCAAAAATACAACTCCCATAGTTAAAAACTCAAACATTTGAGTGAGATGCACAAGTCAAAACTGACATCTAAGACAGTGCTATATTTACCAGCCCCTCAAGAAGGTCCTTTCAAATTCTAGAAATGTATATTCTTTAGCTTCTGCAGAAGATTATTCTGTCTTTGCTAGTAAAGTTAATCTATTGTTATCTGATATATTGTTCTCTGTAGTAGGACATACATTTGAGTAAAGATGAACAAATAATTTCTATTTCTTACCAATTCATAGGTCTAGAATCATACTTTCTTCCCTCTGGGGTAACTGCCTTCTGTTACCCCTTTATATCCCACTTGCACAATTTTTCCCACTCTGCATTAGTACACCAAGGACTCACCACTGAGAGAGAACAAAAATCTGTTGTCCTACTCTGACAGCAGCTTGCTTGTTGAAATACACGATTGTGTATCACTATTGTTAAGCTAGGCTTACACATGCAGTCTGTAGTTTACATACCCTCTTTAACTGGAGGTGAAGAAGAGGATGGTACTCTGACATTTTAACACTGAAGCTTTCAATGATTTATTTTAACGCCTTTATCTTTAAACATGCTAGTAGGATGTTATCAACATGATAGGAGGTAGTACACTTGGGATACTGCCCTGTATGCCTGCTGACAAAAAGAATTACACAAACATTCTCAAACTGACTTGGAAACAAATACAAACACTTTATAAATGAAATCTTAACTAATACCGCTAAACATTTCATATACTGATACAGAGCAAAATTTTAAATGAGTTCCAAAAAGGTGAACAGGTGAATGTTTGCAAAATACAGCTATATCAGATATTTAACTCACAAAAGACCCCTCAACCAACCATCCTTAACATACAATACCAGTTCTATCTTCTTCCCTATTAAAATCCCAAGCTTTAGACAATTAGCTAGCAACCCCAACATTAACACCTACCCCGTTGAATTAGCTGCATATTAACAAATCATCACATCCGAAGAAACAGTAGCTGCCATAAAAACTTTAAAAATAAAAAAAATCCCTGAGGGTTTTTCTGATGTATATTAGAAAATGTTCACCTCCTTCCTGGTTTCCTATCTACAAATACTGTTTCATAAGATTGTATTAAAAGCCTCATGCGCTAAAGAATTCCTACAGACCTACATTACCATGCTGCCAAAACCAGGTAAAGACTTAATGATACATGAAAATGTATGCTTATTTTCATTTTGAATATAGCTTACAAAATTATTCTACCAGCCCATTTAACATTAGACATTTCCTCCATTTTCTCCTCAGAACTCTTCAGATATGGTTTCATGCCATCTCATCAGCTAACAAACAATAGACACAATCTTAATATCATTTTCCACACCGGAACCAACACCCACATTCTGATACTCAAGTTAGGCAGCTATGTTTTTCAACACCATTGGATGTGAATTTATGGAAGATGTTCTCCCAGAATATGGACTGTTGAGCAGCTTTAATTAAGCCTTATGAGCATCTTACAGTAGCCTTTCTGCTCAATTGAAATTTAATTCACAATTCACACCCTTTATGATGAACCAGGCAGGGGTGCTCCCTTTTCCCATCAGTCTTTACTATTACTAATACTACTATGTTGTACTACTACTACTACTTCAATACATTCAGATCCCAGAATCTTAGGATACATATGCCAGACTGCTGAATTTCAAATTAGTATGCAAGCTGATAATATCCTGGTAACTCAACACCTTATGATCCTCCCAACCTCATTTCACATGTAACCAATTTCTCTTCTATATCATGACTTTACATTAACAAGCAAAAGTCAGAGGTAAAACCTTGAACATTCTACCATAAAATGCAAAAATCAGAGGTATAACCTTGAACATTCCACATTAACAACCAAAAATCAAGGGTATAACCTTGAACATTCCACATTAACATGCAAAAGCCAGAGGTATAGCCTTGAACATTCCACATTATAATGCAACAGCCAGAGGTATAGCCTTGAACATTCCACATTAACATCCAAAAGTCAGAGGTATAGCCATGAACATTCCACATTAACAACCAAAAATCAGAGGTATAATCTTGAACAATCCACAATAATATGCAAAAGTCAGATGTTTAACCTTGAACATTCCACATTAACAACCAAAAATCAGAGGTATAACCATGAACCTTCTACATTAACAAACAAAAGTCTGAGGTATAACTTTGAACATTTCACATTAACATCCAAAAATCAGAGATATAGCTTTGAACATTCTACGTTACCAACCAAAAATCAGAGTTATAACCATGAACTTTCCATATTAACAACCAAACATCAGACATAAAACTCTGAACATTCCATATTACTAATCAAAAATCAGAGGTACAGCCTTGAACATTCCACATTAACAACCAAAAAAAGTCAAAGGTATATCCTTGAACATTCCACATTAATATTCAAAAGTCAGAAGTATAACTTTGGACATTTTACATTAACATCCAAAAGTCAGAGGTATAACCTTGAACATTCCACATTAACAATCAAAAGTCAGAGGTCTTCTTTTTTTCTACATCCCTTCAAATGATAGGTAAAATCCTTCTGCATTTGTCAGTATCACAGAGGTGGGGGCAGGGAGCTGCAGTTAGAGCTCCATGAGAGATGATTGGAGGAAAAGGGACCCCCCACACACACACACACACCACACAGGAGCTATGTTGTGAATAGACAAGTCTGTCTGCCGCCCCAACACAAAATCATCTCATGTGTTGAGAAAACTTCTCAGAGGTGACTCCTGCTGATAACAGAGGAATGAAGCACCAAAGAGAAACCACACTTAGAGCTTTGGAAATAGGTAAACACTACAGATATCTGTGCTTTGTTTAATTTTCATGACTGAGGTTTACAACCACTTTAACATCCAAATCGCAGATGTATAACCTTGAGCATTCCATGTTAACATCCAAAAGTCAGAGGTATAACCTTGAACATTCCCTGTGACATTAAAAAAACAAAATAGTTCCCTTTTTTTTTTTACTCCTCCAAAGGATACATCGTAATATGCCCAATAGAAAAAAATTTTCCCCCTCTCCAAAGGTCAAGCTAACTAAAGTGGTATTAAAACCACTAAAAATGTAAAATAATGCAGCTTACAAATCTGTAGATGTGGTGGCTGCATTTTTTTCCCGCTATGTTTCACCTGGTGATCCAGTCAGTAACACAATTCCTGTCTTAAGGTGTCTACCTTCTGGATGAAGCAGTAAAGCAGACAGCTTTGCATAGCAACACTGTCAGTCTGGGGAAAGGATAGTGTTAGACTTGCAGATATTTTAAGACTTGACTAACAAATTAAAGCAGAACTCCAGCTAGTACTTTATAAGCAGTTACTGAAACCATTTTTTAATTTTCCTTTTGGGATGAAGGTTTTACATAAATTAATAAAAGCTGATCATTGTAAAAACCCTTGTCAGTGGTATACGTTTTTTTCCAGCCCTCTACTGACATTGCTTAGTGAATTCTCAATTTAATACATAAAAACTCCAGAAAATGTGTAGATATTGCAATCACAATACATAAATATGTAGTACTAAAACAAACACAGAGATATATTTATAAACTCCATGAATCAAAAGGTAAAATATATAACATCTAAATGGTGCAAAATCAAAAGTCTGTGCAATATGTGAAAAGTCAAAAATGTCCAAATTTCAGTGTAATGGCGCACTTCAAGTGAATAGCCTCTCAGTCCCCTTGAGGATAAATGCTCACCTCAAGATTTGACCCTCAATGCAAAGGTCTAAACACATATCTTTACTAGAATCCAGCAAGTTGCTTAGTAATGGACACAGAACTGGTAATACTCCAGTCGGCTTGAGTCAACATTAATTACCAGCATGACTCTTGGGAACTGCTTCAGTAATTAAACCATCCAGGGAGAGACTCCTAGTGATAAGGCTCGAAGAAGCAGAATAAGGACCATAGTGTTCACCACTTAAAAACTATTTTAATAAAAAAATAATGAAAGTGCTCTCACATTTAAAACAAGGAGAAACCTCTTTCATGAATCTGACATAAAGCTAAGGAATAGCACTGTCAGGAAGAAGTACAGAGCCAAACCACTATGCAGTGCTGTAGTCCTAGCAGTCAGAAAAATAGCTTTGGGTAAAATAGTATATTTCTACATTTTCTAATATTTTTGTTTTCTTTACAGGAAGGACCTACTGACAATACCAAGTATGGAAATATAATCAATGCACTAAATACAATCAGATCAAAAGGTATGGCACAAGTAATTCACAGGCTTTAGACACTGAGTTTATGACTATTATAACTAATTTGAAACATTTGTTACTGAATTGATTACTTTTAACGGCTTCCTGACCGCCCTATAGCAGAAATACTGCTACAGGGCAGCGGGTGCGCAAAATCACGTATACATACATGATTTTGCATTTCCATTTGTGGCCGCAGCTGTCAATCACTGGGTCCTGACCAGCATCTCCGACAGGGAGGAGAACTGTTTGGAAACAAAATAGTTCTCCTTGTCAGCTTGTGCACACTGCATTGGATGGCTGTGCACAGCACAGCCATCCAAAGCAGTGTGCTTACAGTGAAGCACATGGACACAGAACAGAATAAAACAGCACACAGTTAACCCTTTGATCACCCCTCATGTTAACCCCTTCCTGCCCAGTGCCATTAGTACACTGTCAGTGCTTTTTTTTTTTAGCACTGATCACTGTATTGGTGTCACTGGGGATGTCAGTGACACCAAGTGAGTTCCCCCCCAGTGGTAGAATGCCCCGCTATAAGTCGCTGATCACGATTACTAGTAAAAATAACAAATAAAATAAAAATCCCAGTATATATACCACCATTTGTAAATGCTATAACTTTCACTAAACCAATTAATTTACACATATTTACACAATTTTTTTTAGCAAAGACATATAGCAGAATACATTTTGGCAAAATTTATGATGAAATTAGAATTTTTATATTTTTATACTGGAGATGTTTAATAACAAAAAGTCTAAAATATTGTTTTTTCTCAAAATGTTCGTTTTTTCATAGCGTAAAAAAATAAAAAAAACGCACAGGTGATCAAATACCACAGAAAGAAAGCTTAATTCATGGGAAAAAAGGATGTACATTTCCTTTGGATGCAGCATTGCATGACTACACAATTGTCAGTTAAAGTAACGCAGCGCCGTAATGCAAAAAATGGCCTGGTCAGGAAGGGGGGTAAATCCGCTGGAAAGCAATGTTTGAAATTACAGGACATATTTATAAGTAGTGTAAGGACATTCAGCATACATTGACTGCAGGTGAATCAATCACTGTAATTTATAACACATGCACCAGAAAGAGACACCTGCAGTGAATGTTTGGTGAATGTCCTATTTACTACTATCATAATATACCTAGTTAAGAAAGCATACATCATAATCTTTCAACTATGATAAGGGAAGCAGTTAAGGCCCTGTTACTTTAAAGTGTTACTAAGCCCACAACAGTAAAATCAGTCTGTATCTGCAGTAAAGCATGCTTGTTATACTCACAGTGGAACCTAAGGGGTTAATCCTCTGCATTGTGTAAAAATGCTGTTTGATCCTGACTGCTCTGATCCTCCCCTTCTTCCAGTGCTCCCCTCTTATCTCCTGATAAGACATATTGTGTGGAGACACTGCACATGCTTAATTTGGTGTGTATTGCTAGATATATTTTTTTTTTTTGGGGGGGGAGAGTGCATGTGATCAGCACAGGGCTAATCAGCACTGCTAGGACAGAGGTCAGGGGTTCTGCATCCTCCTAGAGAAAACTCCTCCTACAAGATTTAACCAGTGCTCTGCTGGACACTGCTAGAAGTCACAAGACTGCTCTATCTGCTGATGAGAAAAAAGTATTTAGCAGTTTATATTTACTAAAACAATTGCATTTCCATCTCTGTGTACTGTGGGAGACCAGATATAGTGAATGCAGGGTCCTGGGTTTAGTACCACTTTAACTCCCTGAAAAAGATTTACAGGAAAAGTCAATATTTGCATATAGATTCAACTGGATCTACTGTTTGTTTTGACATATATTTTTTTGCTGCAATTTACATATATAGGAAAATAGGATGTTTGAACATGTTACTTACACTTTGAAGGGTACTTTTCAGTTTAATTGTATGTATAAAGGAAATTACAATTCATTCACTGTTATTATGCTCAATGACACCTTCGCTGGGGTTCTCACAATTGCCAGGTCAAGCAAACACCATCTTAGTGCTGGACCCATATTGTAGGCTGGAACCGCAATGAAATAAGTAGATCTGATGTAGATAGGATGCAGGGCTATCCCATTATTTTAACTGAACCAAAATAGCAAAGAAGTGAGGAAAACGCTAAGGTACCTAGAGTAATGCGTCAAGTATGATTCTCAGAAAGGACATCTTCTGTGGCGTATTACTCCCAACTAGATGTTTTTTTAATATTTTTTTGGGTGGTTTTTTTACATATTTAATTTAGCTCTACTGAATAAATACCTTTGACACACTTTGTTTTGTGTATGTTGCCAAACCCTGCAGAAACACAGCACACACTCAAAGTGTAACTTTTGATGAGAAAGAAACAAACGTGTCATGGTCAGTTACATACAGCGCAAGGATTTTAGAGTAATTCCTACCTGGCACCATTTGTGCTAGAAGAAACACACATATATTTATTTCCTAAGTACTGCATGGGAGGGTCTTCCTACTATAGTCACATGAGCAATCCCAATGCTGTATTTTTTTAATATAATTTTTATTTATAAATTTCCAAGTACAAAGCAAATAATAGAAAATAAAATAATAAGGCACATACATGGGAGTACACATTCCCGCCACATCAGTTACAATATGTAATACAGCGGCAAAGGAATTCACAATCCCAAACAGTATAAGAGTAAGTGCATCATATGTGATATGCTTGAGTTACACATGAGGGAACAAAAAGCCCCCAGGGATATTCCAGTGCGTACCTGATTGCTGCAGTGGAATGCCAGTGGAACTAAAGTGTACCCGAAGAGGACGCCAACAAAACTGAACTTTACATAGACTCCCACCACAGCCAGCTGCATAGAGCCAAAAGCAAAAGGATAAAAGTTATCCGTTGGTTCACCTGGACAAGTTGTTGGAAGGAAGGATCAGCTAGAACTAGTAAGGCGATATCCAGGCTAGAGTGGGTTATGTCATATCCAGTGGTATACCTCTGCCAGGGTGCCCAGATGGAATTAAAGTTGGCTTTTGTACCCCTACATGTAGCCACCCACTCCTCGGCCTCCATGATCTCAGTGACCTTCTTAATCCAGTCCCCACGACTAGGAACAGAAACACTCATCCAATTTATCAGGATTAAAACGCTTAGCTGCATTAAGCATGTGAGGAAGAGCACTTTGTTTATAACTAGCTAGCGGAATCGTGGGGACATGGAGCAAGAAGTGAGATGATGAGAGGGGTAGGTCTACCTCCAGAATCTCAGCTATGCAGTCCTGTATTTCATCCCATTAAAGCCTGATCTTGGGATATTCCCACCGCATATGGAGTAGCATACCCCTCTGACCGTATCTTCTCCGGCATAGATCAGAAGGCAGGTAAATCCGGGAAAGAGCAGCAGGCACTTGGTACCACCTGGTTAACAGTTTACAATTATTATCTTGTGTTTTCATATCTATAGAGCTGGAATGAGTCAGGTGGTCTTCAGTGAAGCAGTTGGTCTTCAGTGAACTCGCACTGTAGGTCCCGTTCCCAGTCCCTGATATAACTCGGCTTAGGTTGAGAGGCAGTAGAGAGTAGCAGCTTATACAGTCATGGCCGAAATTGTTGGCACCCTTGATATTTTTCCTGAAAATCAAGTATTTCACACAAAAAAGGTATTGCATTAACACATGTTTTGCTATACACATGTTTATTCCCTTTGTATGTATTGGAACAAATATAAAACAGAGGCAGAAAAGCAAATATGACATAATGTCACACAAAACCCCAAAAATGGGCTGGACAAAAGTATTGGCACCCTTAACTTAATATTTGGTTGCACACCCTTTGGAAAACATAACTGAAATCAGTCGCTTCCTATAACCATCAATAAGCTTCTGACACCTCTCACCCGGAATTTTGGACCACTCTTCCTTTGCAAACAGCTCCAGGTCTCTCTTATTGGAAGGACACCTTTTCCCAACAGCAATTTTAAGATCTCTCCACAGGTGTTCAATGGGATTTAGATCTGGGCTCATTGCTGGCCACTTCAGAACTCTCCAGCGCTTCTTTGCCATCCATTTCTGAGTGCTTTTTGACGTATGTTTGGGGTCATTGTCCTGCTGGAAGACCCAGGATCTTGGACGCAAACCCAGCTTTCTGACACTGGGCCCTACAGTGCGACCCAAAATCCTTTGGTAATCCTCAGATTTCATGATGCCTTGCACACAGTCAAGGCACCCAGTGCCAGAGGCAGCAAAACAACCCCAAAACATCATTGAACCTCCACCATATTTTACCGTAGGTACTGTGTTTTGTTCTTTGTAGGCCTCATTCCGTTTTCGGTAAACAGTAGAATGATGTGCTTTACCGAAAAGCTCTATCTTGGTCTCATCTGTCCACAAGACGTTTTCCCAGAAGGCTTTTGGCTTACTCAAGTACATTTTGGCAAACTGTAGTCTTGCTTTTTTATGTCTCTGTGTCAGCAGTGGGGTCCTCCTGGGTCTCCTGCCATAGCGTTCATTTCATTTAAATGTCGACGGATAGTTCGCGCTGACACTGATGCTCCCTGAGCCTGCAGGACAGCTTGAATGTCTTTGGAACATGTTTGGGGCTGCTTATCCACCATCCGGACTATTCTGCGTTGCAATCTTTCATCAATTTTCCTCATCCGTCCACGACCAGGGAGATTAGCTACAGTGCCATGGGTTGCAAACTTCTTGATAATGTTGCGCACTGTGGACAAAGGCAAATCTAGTTCTCTGGAGATGGACTTGTAACCTTGAGATTGTTGATATTTTGCCACAATTTTGGTTCTCAGGTCCTCAGACAGTTCTCGTCTCCTCTTTCTGTTGTCCATGCTTAGTGTGGCACAGACAGACACACAATGCAAAGGTTAAGTGAACGTCTCTCCTTTTTATCTGCTTTCAGGTGTGATTTCTATATTGCCCACACCTGTTACTTGCCCCAGGTGAGTTTACAGGAGCATCACATGCTTGTAACATTCTTATTTATCCGCAGTTGTGAAAGGGTGCCAATACTTTTGTCCAGCCCATTTTTGGAGGTTTGTGTGACATTATGTCGAATTTGCTTTCTTTCCTCCCTTTTTTTGTTTTGTCCCAATACACACAAAGGGAATAAACATGTGTATAGCAAAACATGTGTTAATGCAATACGTTTCGTGAGAAATACATGATTTCCTGGAGAAATATCAAGGGTGCCAACAATTTCGGCCATGACTGTATAAAACCAAAATCAGTTGTGGAGTAGGGTCAGGGACTCCCCACAGACATTCAAAAGCTGTTAAAGTGGACCTAGTCTGAGTGTAGAAAAAGTGGCGAAGTTGACGATAACGCCAAATGTGCAGGGGAAAGTGGCCATAGTGCTCCCTAAAGGAAGCTAGAAAAATAAATGTACTCCCTTTTATAAATCTGGCAAGACTAAAAACCCTGTCCCGAGCCCATGATCCAAAGAATGTTAATCTATCCCCGGGGGGAAACCATAGGAATCCCCCCACTGGTGCCAATGGAGACTCCGGAGGCGCCAGCGAGTGGGAGCCGTTTAATGTATCCTACACCCTAAACCCACAACCCAATCAGAGAGTCCTCTGTCTCCCTTACCCATGGGGCATATGATAACTTATGCCCTGCCATTGTTTTTTCTAAGGGGATCCAAAGTTTTGAAGAAGAATGAAACCACCAATTTAGAATCTACTGAAGTGCAACTGCTCTGTAGTATTATTTTATGTCAGGTATACCAAGACCCCCTAGCAGTTTAGGTTTTTTCAACGTGGCTATAGCTATTCGTGGTCTTTTACCATTCCAGACGTTGTGATCATATGTTGAAGCTCAAGAAAGATGCATTTGGGCAGGAGAACAGGCACCATCTGCAGGAAAAACATAATTCTGGGTAGAATAGTCATCTTAATTATGTGGGTACAGGCCAACACAGTGAAGGACACCCTATTCCATGACTGAAGATCATGATGGATCTTATTGACCAAGGGATTATAATTGGTCATGTACAAAGAGTCGAAGCAATCTGTGAATTGAATCCCCAGATATGTCAGGGAAGTGGGGGTTCAGGTAAAGGAGAAGGCATTCTGCAAAGCCGCAGAGAAAGTCAAAGGCAGGGTTATCAGTAGAATCTCTGACTTAGAGTAGTTTATCTTAAAGTTAGACACCTGACCATAAGCCTGTAATTCCGCCATCAAGTTGGGCAACGAGACAAGGTGGTCCGTGATATGGAACAAAATCTCATATACGGAAAGCTTATGCTCCGTGGCTCCCATCGTAACACCCTTTCTATCTGAGTTTGCTCTAACCCTGCAGAGCAAGGGTTCCAAGGTAAGGACAAACAAGAGAGGTGAAAGGGGACACCTCTGTCTTGTGCCATTCCGGATGGGAAACTCCAAAGACAAGGAACCATTAAACCTTAACTAATCATATTGGTAGGTAAGACATAAAGTGCAGAGATCCAACTCAGCATATGAGGGACAAGACCCAACCTCTCTAGTACAGCCATGAGGAAGTGCCAGTCGACCCGATCAAACGCTTTGTCAGCGTCCGTAGAAAGCACTAGATAGGGAGGGGGTTGGTGTTGCATTCAGACCCAATAAATAAGCTGGATTGCTCTAATTAAATTATCCTTCGCTTCCCCGGCCATCTATAAATCCAGTCTGATCAGGGTTGATTATCAAAAGAAGTGTTTCAGCCAATTGGCAAGGATCTTAGAGAATATCTTCCAGTCAGTGTTCAATAAGAATATCGGCCAGTAAAGTAAAGTAAAGTATGGTCCTTCTCTTCCTTCTTGAGAACCGTGACATGTGCCAAGAGGGCATCTTGAGGGATGTGGCCTCCTGAAGCAAGGGAGTTGAAGTACCTACACATGTTTTTGGAGCACTGATAAAAACTTCAAGTAGTATTGCCATCAGGGCCAGGGCTTTTACGATTGGGAAGGGATTTCACAGTAAGTAACAATTCCTCTGGGGTTATAGGTAACTCTAAATCAGCCCCTTGCCCAGGGGTAAGGGAGGGAGTCCCAGAGGAGGAGAGGTAGGGATGTATGCAAGAGAGCTTCTAGTCCTCGCCAGCAGGAGGGCGAGCAGTGTCCAGATACAGTGTGGCATAATAATCGTGAAACAACGACGCAATTTTGGAAGTATGCACAACAGACATCCTGGAGCCTGGAGTTTGTGGACACATATAAAAGCACAATTCTTGTGAAGGGCTCTCACCAACATCCGACATTTATTGGCATATTTATAATATTTGTGAGCGACAAACCACAGGCAATGGCAAATAAGTCGGTCAGGAAGTTGTGAGAAAAGCTTGCGGAGTTCAATGAGATGCTATAATGCCCCTGGCGTCGCCTGATGTTTGTGATGTAACTCTGCCTGCTGTAGTGCCATAAGGACCTGATGGAAATCTACCTGCCTCTCCTTCTTTAGCTTAGAACCAAGGGAAATGAGTATGCCACGCACAACCACCCTGTGGCCCTCCCAGGTGACACAACCACTGACCCCCTCCGTGATGTTTTCAGGGAAATATTGTGTTAGAGTTTCCATGACTTTCGCCACAATCATCTAAATGATTTTGATTGAGTATCCATGACCAATTTCTAGCAACTGAACCAGGGAGCAGGAGAGAGACCATTATCAGAGTGTGGTCAGAGATAATAAGCTGTTCTATGGAGGAGTCAGTCAAGGTCTCCAACTTATGGTTGTCTACGAACAACAGGTCAATTCTAGTATAAGTGTCATGGACTTGTGAATAGCAGATAAAATCTTTCTCAGATGCATGCATAGCCCTCCAACTATCTACCAGAGAGTGAGCCTACAGAAGTGTTTGATAAAAGCGTAGGAATGTGTGGGGCGATCGCGAGAAGTGTCCAAAGGTCCAGACTGACATTAAAATCCCCACCCATAATCAACTTACCCCCCCTAAAATCTGCCAAACAGTCTAAAACCGAATCCATAAAAGTGAGTTGAAGAGAATTCGGGGCATAAAGTGTAGCAAAAGTGTATTTCTGTCCCTGAATAGTCCCTTTCAGAAATATGAATCTACCCTGGGGATCCTCATAGTGGTCTATGGGTTGAAAAGGACAATTTATATGTAGGGCGATGGCAGTGCCAGAGTCTTCGCCACTGGGGAAGACTGAGGAACCACTGTGAGAATAGGTGAGTAGGACGTTTAGGGACGGGGGGGGGTTTAAAATGAGTTTCCTGCAGAAACGGTACCTGCGCCCCGAGTCACTTGAGCTCTAGCCACAGCCTGTTTCACTTATTAGGGGAACAGAGATGACAAACATTATAGGACACTACCTTAACCGCAGCCATAGGAAAAAAGAAGAAAAGTTTTCCAAGTGACCAAACAGATGCTCCCAAGCCTAGGGAGGTAGAGAAGTAGGCTGTACAGGCTTCCTATATGCAGTTGATCACAAACATCTAGCTGTACCCTTCACAGGAATACAGTGGGCTGGGGGGTGTACAGCTGTTAACACCCGAGTGAATGAGAGCTACTTGTTGATAAAGCTTTCTATGATTATTAGCAATAATGGAGATACTTATAAAGCAAAAGCAAATGTGACTATCACCCAACATTCTCTAGTGGTGAATCAATCACTGTCATTTAAAACACCTATACCTGGAAATCCACCTACACTGAAAATTTGCTGAATGCACTACATAAAGGTTTGTTCTTTTAGATAATGCAAGAAAAAATGTTCAACAAAATATTTTCCTTGATGTTAAAGTAAACTATGTTTGTTTTTTGTTTTTTTAAATCAGACAGTACAACTGTTTTAAACGTGAAATTACAAGACCTGATTCCAGAAGAAATATATCTAGAACATTTCTACAGATATGATGGCTCTCTCACTACTCCTGAATGTTATGAAACTGTCATCTGGACTGTCTTTCCTGAAACAATAAAGCTAAGCAGAGATCAGGCATGTAGTTTTATTAAAATCTCAGTTTCACGCTCTCACTACCTCCCTCTTTTTTTTTCTTTCACTATCTTCCTATTATCTATCATATATTTTGTCAATAGTAAATCCACATTTACCCTAGTGTAGTGCGTGAATGCACACAAAATGCACACGTTCATGAAATGTGCAAAAAACGAGTGTCTCGTTTGTGATACCGTTTATTGTTAATAGCACCACGTGTCAAGCAAGAAGTGCATTTTTGCATGCACAAGAATCTGCGACAATTGGGGAGAAACATGCAGTTAAAAACCACAAATTCAAAAAGGTGCATGGGTATATTTTCTGCATTTCTTGCATGTAGAGCAGCCCATTGAAATGAATAGGCTTTCTCTATGTGCAAATAGCAAAAGCGAGCGACAGCTGATATAATGCGTTAGTAATGTGGAAGGGAGTTTTTGTCTACCTATTCAGTGTCTTATTAATATCAAAGGTAACCACTTCAGCTCTTACACTTGTATACTCTTATGGACCAAGCAACTTTTTTGCTTTTCCTCATAGGCCTTTTGACTCGGTGATAGCTTTGTCATTACTTATGATCTACATGAGATATACTGTATATACAGTGGGTAAAATATGTATTGAACACAACACCATTTTGCTCGGTAAATATATCTCTATTGCTATCTAGGTGCTATTGACATGAAATTGTCACCAGACGTTGGTAACAACCCATGCAATTCATACATACAAAGAAAAAAAAAAAAAATAAGTGCAGAAAAAAAAGTTGTGTAATAAAATGGAATGACACAGGAAAAAAGTTTTGAACACATAAAGACAGAGAGGTGCAAAAATGCATGAAAAGCCAAGACACCAGCTGACATCTATCAGTAATTAGAAAGCAATCCTGCCCCTTGTCAGTGCAAATTAATATCAGCTGGTTCAGTCTCAACTGCTGGTCTATAAGAAGGTGTCTCATTGCCAAGGTGTCACACAAAAAAAAAAAAATCTCATGATGGGTGAAAACAAAGAGCTCCCTCAAGACCTTTGCAACCGTATTGTTGCAAAACATACTGATGGCATTGGTTCCAGAATTTTTTCTAAACATCTGAATGTTCCAGTGTGCACAGTTGAGGCCATAATCCGGGAGTGAAAGACTATAATTTCACCATAAACCGCCCATGACCAGGTCCTCCTTGCAAGAATTTTGACAGAGGAGTGAAAAGAATTGTCAGAAGAGTAGTCCAATAGCCAAGGACCACTTGTGGAGAGCTTCAGAAAGACCTGGAATTAGCAGGTACAATTGTTTCAAAGAAAACAATAAGTAATGCACTCAACCTCCATGGCCTGTATGCACACTCACCACGCAAGACTCCATTGCTGAAGAAAAAGTATGTTGAAGCTTGTTTAAGGTTTGCTGCACAACATTTAGAAAAGCCTGTGAAATACTGGGAGAATATATTCTGGTCAGATGAGACCAAAATGTTACTCTTTGGATGACATAATACTCACCATGTTTGGAGGTCAAATGGCACTCCATATCACCCCAAAAACACCATACCAACAGAGAAGTTTAGAGGTGGAAACATCATGGTGTGGGGCTGTTTTTTTAGCATACAGTACTGGCAAACTTCATATCTTTGAAGGAAGGATGAATGGAAAAATGTACCAAGACATTCCTGATAAAATCTGCTGCCATCTACCAGGATGATGAAGATGAAACGAAGGTGGACATTTTAGCAAGACAATGATCACAAACACAAAGCCAAGGAAACTCTCAATTGGTTTAAAAGAAAGAAAATACAGCTGCTAGAATGGCCCAGCCAATCACCTGACTTGAATCCAATAGAAAATATATGGAAAGAACTAAATATCACAGTTCATAGAAGAGGCCCACGGAACCTTCAAGATTTAAAGACTGTGTGGAAGAATGGGCCAAAATCACACCTGAGCAATGCATGCGACTAGTTTCTGCATACAGGAAGCGTCTTGAAGCTGTCATTACAAACAAAGGATTTTGTAGAACTATTAAATAAATTTCATTTAGCGTGTTCAATACTTTTCCCCTGTGTCATTCCATTTTATTACACATAACCTGATTTCTGAATGTATTTGTTTTGGTTTCTTTGTATGTATGGATCGCATGGGTTGTTACCCACATGTGGTGAAAATTTTATGTCAATAGCACCTTTAGAAATCTGTTTACTGAGAAAAATGGTGATGCATTTTATATATATTTACATATACACACACTATATTGCCAAACATATTGGAACGCCTGCCTTTACACACACATGAACTTTAATGGCATCCCAGTCTTAGTCCGTTGGGTTTACTAATGAAACCCACCCTTTGCAGCTATAACAGCTTCAACTGTTTTGGGAAGGCTGTCCACAAGATTTAGGAGTGTGTCTATGGGAATGTTTGACCATTTTTTCAGAAGCACATTTGTGAGGTCAGGCACTGATGTTGGATGAGAAGGCCTGGCTCGTAGTCTCCGCTCTAATTCATCCCAAAGGTTGAGGTCAGGACTCTGTGCAGGCCAGTCAAGTTCCTCCACCCGAAACTCACTCATGCATGTCTTTATGGACCTTGCTTTGTGCACTGGTGCACAGTCACGTTGGAACAGGAAAGGGCCATCCCCAAACTGTTCCCACAAAGTTGGGAGCATGAAATTGTCCAAAATGTCTTGGTATGCTAACACCTTAAGAGTTCCCTTCACTGCAACTAAGGGGCCAAGGCCAACCCCGGAAAAACAACCTCACACTATAATCCCCCCTCCACCAAACTATACACTTGGCACAATGCAGTCAGGCAAGTACCGTTCCCCTGGAAACCGCCAAACCCAGACATGTCCATCGGATTGCCAGACAGAGAAGCATGATTTGTCACTCCAGAGAACATGTCTCTACTGCTCTAGAGTCCAATGGCGGCATACTTTACCACATCCAATGCTTTGCATTGCACTTGGTGATGTAAGGCTTGGATGCAGCTGCTCAGCCATAGAAACCCATTCCTTGAAGCTCTCTATACTCTGTTGTTGTGCTAATCTGAAGGCCACACAAAGTTTGGAGGTCTTTAGCTATTGACTCTGCAGACAGTTGGTGACTTTTGTGCACTGTGTGCTTCAGCATGCGCTTACTTCGCTCGTCATTTTACGTGGCCTACCACTTCGTGGCTGAGTTGCTGTTGTTCCCAGTTGCTTCCACTTTGTTATAATACCACTAGCAGTTGACCGTGGAATATTTAGTAGCAAGGAAATTTCACAGATGGACTTATTGCACAGGTGGCAACCTAATACAGTACCATGCTTGAATTCACTGAGCTTGTGAGAGCGACCCATTCTTTCATAAATGTTTGTAGAAACAGTCTGCATGCTTAGGTACTTGATTTTATACACCTGTGGCCATGGAGGTGATTGGAACACCTAAATCCAATGATCAGGAGGGGTGTCCCAATACTTCTATCAGTATAGTATATATATATTTAATTATTTATTCAGTGTATATTTACTTTTTTTTTTAGAATACACACACAGTAGGTGCAGTGTAGCGCCACCCATAGTAATGAATGAACATTCGCTGTGCATAGGCATATGCTGTACACGAGCACAGATGCAAATCTTTCAATGCCGCTTGTGTGCATCCAGGGATTTACACATGTACATGTACTAGTGTACATATATTCATTACTACAAGTAGCTGTACACTGGAAATGCACCAGTGGAAATACACCATCCTTTTTTGTGTTTGCCTTGTTTTTTTTTCAACCTATGGGCACAAAGACATAGCAAAGTAAAAAAAACTATCTTTTTCTAGTTTTACCAGTGTTAGTTTTAAAACAGCAAAAGGTGCCCATTGTAATCTACAGGTTGTACCATTTTTTAATGACACTAAGGGCTCGTTCAAACAAGTGCCCTTTTGAAGAGCAATCCATGGTGGACTGCTTTTCAGAAGATGTCAGGCAATATGTCACCTTCTCATCACCTATTTTAATCCTAAAATTTCTGCCACATGCATTGGGTCACATTTGTTGGCAGCTACTGCCTGCTGAATGCAACATGCAGTTTAACTTTTGGCGCAACATGTGTATAACCTAGCGCTGTTGTATGCCCTTATTTAGGTAGGCGGTTGGGGGTGACTTAACTGCCTACTCTTTATAGCCACCCATGTGAACGTGCCCTAAAGCTACCAAACGCAATAAACACCTGCGCTCTTAATAGCTCCCTTTTTTGTTAATTCATGACCAATAACAGCTGTGCTAGAATAGAAATTTACTTAAAAATCTTAATAATAAAAAAAAAATTCCCAGTACTAACATATTCTTGCCAACCAAACAATATACCCACATTACCTAATAATTATTCAAGCATCACAAGCTTTGTTGTCTGCACTATAATTACTCACTAATCACTTTATTTTTATATTGACTACTGCACAGAAAATACAGCATTTGGAATATTTTATGTTTGCACTTTATATGGTTATACAACATTTCATATACATTTTTATTGTAGGGTCATGATTGGAATGTGAGTGTATATTGTTTGGTTTGCAAAGGTATTTTAGCTTCTTAAAATCTTTGACAGGTTTAAATATACAGAGTGGCTGGATGCTGTACAGAGCAGTACTCATGTTAAGGATGTATGCCCCAAATGCGGAATTCTTGTTAGGTGCATATGTCCCTGAACACACTAAATGCCTAAACGCAAGTACTGATCGGTACAGTATCCAGCTGCCACACCTTCCAACCTGTAACACTCCAGCCTGTCAGAATCTTTGACAGGCTGGAATATGTGGCAGCTGGATGCTTTACAGAGCAGTACTTGCAAGCAGTACTTGTGATTGTCTCCAGTGGACTGGTTCTTAGAAAGTAAAATCAGATTCTACACGGTTTCAGACTGTTCTGCAATTCTGTAAATTGGCTACACACAGCTTTATAAGTACCTGTAATAAATATGACAAAATCTTTTATTAGCATTCAGGGGAAAAAAGACCCAGTGTTCCAATAAGAGCTGGTATAGAACTTCCCTATGTACATTATTATTATTATACAGGATTTATATAGCGCCACCAGTTTGCGCAGCACTTTACAAAATGAAGGTAGACATTACAGTTGCAATACAATTTAGTACAAAAGGAAACAGAGGGCCCTGCTCATTAGAGCTTACAATCTAGGAGGAAGGGTTGAGTGATACAAAAGGTAATAGCTGTGGGGGATGAGCTGATGGAGGAAATAAAAGGCAGTTTACAAGGTAGAAGCAGGATAGGCTTCTTTAAAGAGAGAGTTTTTTTTGGGATCGTCTAAAGGTGGATAGATTAGGAGATAGCTGGACAGATTGGGGTAGGGAGATCCATAGGATTGGAGCAGCTCGGGAGAAGTCCTGGAGGTGAGCATGGGAGGAGGTGACGCAGGAACTAGAGAGCAGAAGGTCTTGGGAGGATCGAAGAGAGCGGTTTGGTTGATATTTTGAGACCAGGCTGGTGATGTAGCTGGGGGCTGAGTTGTGGATGGCTGTGTAAGTTTTTGTTAGTATTTTGAATTTTATTCGTTGGGCAACTGGAAGCCAGTGGAGGGATTGGCAGAGAGGGGTAGCAGACACTGAACGGTTGGTAAGGTGGATGAGCCTGGCAGCAGTATTCATGATGGACTGGAGGGGGGATAGCCTATGTAAAGGTAAGCCGATGAGGAGGGAGTTGCAGGAGTCAAGGCGAGAGATAACCAGGGAGTGAATTAGGAGCTTTGTGTAATCATTGATTAAAAAGGGACGTATTCTGGAGATGTTGTGGAGGTTGAGGTGGCATGATTTGGACAGGGATTGGATGTGGGCCTGAGAGGATAGTTCAGAATCCAGGGTTACCCCTAGCACCCTGGCATGCGGGGATGGGTTGATAGTGGTGCTATTGATCCTGACTGAGAAATCAGGGGAAGAGACACGTGGGGGAGGAAATATGAGCTCAGTTGTGGATAGATTAAGTTTTAGGAAGTAGTGTGACATCCAGTCTGATATGTCTGTTAGTAAATCAGTGATAAGTGAGGAAACTGATGGGGTGAGCTGAGGGGTAGAGAGATAGATTTGTGTGTCATCAGTATAGAAATGGTATTGGAAACCATGGGAAGCTCTCAGCTGACCCAAGGAAGAGGTGTAGATCGAGAATAGGAGAGATCCAAGGACAGAACCTCGGGGGACCCCAACAGTAAGATTAGGAGAGGAGGAAAGTAGAGTTGTGACACTGAAGGTGCGGTGAGATAGGTACGATTTGAACCAATTGAGAGTACAGTCACAGAGACCAAGTAAATAAAGTTTTTTTTTAGGAGGGGGTGGTCAACTGTGTCAAAGGCAGCAGAGAGGTCCAAGAGTAAAAGTACGGTATATTGACCATTGGTTGACCATTGGTTTTACAAGTCAATAATCACCAATAATTACCAAATAATATTTTGATTCATAAAATTTAAAAAATTAAACCCATTGTTCGAAGAGTGACTCCAAATTTTTATCTGTAACACTTGCTGCACATCAGTTCATTGTAACCTCAATTTCCTTAAAACTGATATTGTGTTTGAATCACACTGTTCATCTCTTTCTTTCCACAGCTGGACGCATTCTACACGAAACTTAATTACTCAGCAGATGCTGTCATGGTGGAGAACTTCAGACCAGTACAAAAACTGGGAGGGAGAACTGTCTATACTTCTGGTGTGGAAGCAGTATTGTCTTGCAGCAGACATTTGCTACTCGCATTGATTGTGACATATATAGCATCAACTTCTTAATCAATGCTCACTGAAGTCTGTAAATGAAGCTGGTTTAGTACTGTTAAACACTGATTGGTATATTGGAGTGGATCTGTAGCTAATGCACTTTGAATGTGGCCATTACTTGGTCTTTTTAGCTATCTTTAAGGAGGGATTATTTCCAATGACAATAAATATGAGGAGCATTCTTTGTACGGACCGTCACATTAATATATACCAAAAGCTGCAGAAACAGTAGTTATCAGCAGGGACCAAAACGTTATTTCAAAGGTTCCTCCATGTTAAAAAGGTTGAGAAAGCCTAGTCTAGAGCAACAGTTCAGAGAATAAAGCTTTATGTTTCTAGTAATAGCAGGCCATCTTTGCAGTGCATTGGCAAAAGCTCCACTTTTAGTATAACTGAATGAAATGAATTATTAGTAACAGTACACCTTTTGTATTTATTCACAAAACAATGCAATGAGGATATGCTAAATGCAGTAATCTATTGCAACCAATATGATTTTAGTTTAATGTAATAAGGCCGATAAAAATTTATTTATGATTAGTGCTGCTATTGGTTACTGCATTAAGGTAATTGATATTTGTCTTATTTAATTAGCCAGTCTTTATGTTGATTTCACAAGCTGCAGTAGAAATACATTTTAAAATAATCAATTAGTCTATGAAATATTGACTTTCATCACTGCTACATAAATAATAGAAAATAGCGTGCATCAAGCTGGATTTGTTCCATAATGGTATAATAATGTTTCTTTTTCATTATTGTTCAACAATACCTCCTAAAGCTATTGGTTGTTAACTTTTGAGATACAAGAGGCCTCAACTCCGGCCCTGATATCACCAAGGAGACTATTCCTTATATGTAATGTTACAGAAGGCTATCATAGATTGCTGATTTACTAGAGAAAATGGTCAAAGCCTGTGGATATGCTATAGATGTGGTTGGTGATGGAGTCAGGCAGCGAATGAAGGCATGTCACATGAGACACCTAGCAATCACTGCTATGACCGCACTATAAAAACCAAAGAGCTGCATGTGGCCCTCGAGCAGTAGGTTGGACACCAGGTCCCTAAGCAAAAGACAAAAGTAAACATCAAACTGTATTCACTCTATAGCATTATAAAAATTCTCTTTTAGCATATACATGTTCTACTACATGTTACCATGTGTTGTGTGTATGCATTTGTTTGCATTTTTACTGTTAACATTTTGCCACATCAAAAATACAGCATTGTGTACACCATATCACAGCAAGTACCAGTCATAGAGCTCAGTTCATAAAGCTAAAACTTTAGGATGGGGATTATGATTATCAAAAATAATTATTTTCTGTCCAATGAGATATGAAAGTTACATTTGAATGGACAACAATAAAGATTCTTATCTTTGTGTTAAAACTTTCTTATATTTCAAGTGTAATTTTAGGCTCCCTGGTGCATACTGTACATCTTTCAGAATCCCAAATATTGGTGTAACTGTTTGCAACTCACATTTTAATGATCAAGTCATACACCAATATGAATATACTAAGCCATTTAACAGAAACAACTACAAATATATGTTAAAGCTAAAGTTTAATCTGCATATATTCACCTTCCCTATCCTCTTCATCAACATGCTAATGAAATGTTTAAATAAAACCTTTCCATTTTCATTACATACTTTGTTTTAGACATTATCACTGTGACTCTGTTCTTCTCTATACAATGCAGTCCTGGTGCAAATAGTGGATTGGCTCTTAGGAGGAGTTTTGCAAATGTCAAAATGTTTTGATCGGTGGGTGTTAACCTGGAGGAGTGGGAATTCTTAGGAATATTGCATTTGGATGCTCTATCTATGTAATGCACACATGTGATGCTTCCATGATTGACAGAACTTAACTCGAATAAATGAAAGGGGTGGGCCAGGGACAGTAAAGCTGGGGAGGAACGGGCAGATGATGCTGAATGTCCTCCAGCCAGGAAATGTGGATAGCTTTCTGTAACTTGCTGCAACTTTTACTACACACTCAAGCGGAGAAAATCAGAGTTAGGATTCATTCACACTTGTGCGACTTCAAAATTCTGCAATTTTCATTGCGACTTTACAGTGGGACTTTGATACCACTTTGGCTTTGACCAAGGATAATTGTTTCTGCTGTACAAAGTCGCACACAAATCACATGTACAACATTCAGGTGTGACTTTCATGCAAGTTTGGAGGGTTTACATTAAAGTCTATGGCCCTCAAGTCACATGAAAGTCGGACCAAAGTAGTGCAGGAACTACTTTGAAGTCGCTGCGACTTGAAGTTGCACAGATATGAATGGTACCCATTGAGAAACATGGGTTTGTCATGACACTTTTGGGCCCCAGAGTCGCATGACAAGTTGCATAAATGTGAATGGACCCTAAGCAGTTTCAGTACAGGAGAGGAGACTGTACAACTGTGCAAAAGTGAAAGTAAATTCAGCTTTAATGTATAATATGCCATGTCTAATGTAAGTTATATTATGTTATTTTTCTATCTTCAGACTATGGTTATAAGTTTATTTAATTTAAGCAAGATATACCATATACAAGAACAGTTCTTTAAATTCTGTCTGAATGATTGTTTTAATTACATTACCACAAATATATTTTTTATATTGTAAGATTGTGTCAGTGTATGTTGTAAATAGCTCTGTTTACAGAAACAAAAGTTGAAATATTTTGAATTTCTATTAAGGGAAACACAGGCTGAAATATTGAAAATTTCTATTAACGAAAACATAGTTTGAAATATTGTGAATTGCTATTAATGGAAACACAGGTTGAAATATTGTGAATTTCTATTAATGAAAAAACTGATGGAGGTATTGTGAATTTCTATTAACAGAAACACAGGTTGGAATATTGTGAATTCCTATTCATGGAAAAAAACAGGTTGAAATATTGTGAATTTCTATTAATGAAAACACAGGTTGAAATATGGTGAATTTCTGCCACATTGTATCTATAAATGAGAACACCTAAATACACTATACCCAGTCAACCAATTCTGTTTATGTAAGGTTTGATAAGTAAAACAATAGTAGTGGGCATTATTAACCATACGTCTAGACCAGCCTTTCTCAACCAGGGTGCCTAGGCACCCTGGGTGCCTTGAGGTTTCTTCTTGGCAAAATGTCTAAAAATTGCCCAAAACTTGTATACAAGCCAGAGGGTGGAACAAGCCTGCCTTTTAGTTACACAAAGCCACAGGTTTTCATTGTGCACCATTACATCCTTCTAGCCGCCAGTGTCCTGACAACCAATGACATCATCAATTGATAAGGAGGATGTTAGCTGCCTGCACAGCATCCCTTTTTGGCCCTCCCCTGCCCCTCTCCGTCAGTGCTGGGTCCACATTAGCACAGTTATGGAGAAAAACTGAGGGAGAAGAGAAACCATGGAATACTAGTCAGTACCAGAGTGCAAAAGTATATTTGCTTTGGAAGAATAGATCACCTCTAATGTTGGGTGCCCTGCATGTGTGGATGTTGCTGCATTATAGAAAATATTAGAATAGTTTTTCACATTTTAGAATAGGTTGCCTCAAGACTGTCCACAATTTTAAAGGGTGCCTCAGGACTGTACATAGTTTTAAAGGGTGCCTTGACTGAAAAAAAAGGTTGAGAAACACTGGTCTAGACCCTGGGGCAGTAGATGCATGTATAATTCAACAGTATTTCAGTCCTCTAGCCTAGCAAAAGACAACACTAATTGCTTTCAAAGGTATTAATCAGTATATAATGAATATAGGGACATCTTAAAACGACATGTTTTAAGTGCTCCAAACTGTGTCCAGGGATGGTTAAGTGTACTGTGCGACCACTTTGAAGAGGTGGTCCTGGGCACAGTTCACTTGCAGGTTCATTATGGTTCACTTCAATGTGAGTGCAGACCATGCCTGGTTACAGAACTCTCCTTAGATGACCCATCTAAGCTGCCTTTCAGTGTCAGCCATCAGTGCCAGTCAGTGACACTTATCAATGCCAATCAATGCCACCTATCAGTGCTGCCAGTCAGTGCCGCCTATCAGTGCGCATCAGTGCCGCCTAACAGTGCCAGTCAGTGCCGCATATCAGTGCCAGTCAGTTCCGCCTATCAGTGCCAGTCAGTTCCGCCTATCAGTGCCAGTCAGTGCCGCCTATCAGTGCCATATATCAGTGCCATGTATCAGTGCTGCCTTTCAGTGCCCATCAGTGATGCCTGTCAATGCCCATCAGTGCCACCTACCAGTGCCTCCTCATCAGTGCCCATCAGTGCCACCTATCAGTGTCCATCAGTGCAGCCTATCAGTGCCCATCACTGCAACCTCAGTAGCGCATATCAGTGAAGGAGAAAAATCACTTATTTACAAAATTTTATAACAAAAACTAAGAAAAAAACTTTTTTTTCCAAACTTTTCAGTGGTTTTTGGTTTGTTTAAGAAAAGAAAAAAAACCCAGAGGTGATTAAATACCACCAAAATAAAGCTCTATCTGTCACAAAAAAATTATACAAAATTCATATGGGTACAATGTTGCATGACCGCGCAATTGTCATTCAAAGTGCGACAGCGCTGAAAGCTGGAAATTGGCCTGGACAGGAAGGGGGTATAAGTGCCCTGTAGGCTATCGGTTAAACTCAGAGTTTAGAGACAGAAAAAAAACGTTTTGTTTTGCGTTTTTGAGAGCTGTTTTCTGGCAGAAAAAAATGTGACATGCTCCTAAACTCTGCTAAACTCTAGTAAAAAATAAAACTTTCTACATTAGCGTTCTTTTCTGCCAAGAGCACTGGATTTTTTTTTAACCCATGAACCCTTGAGGTTAAAAAAGACATACATTTTTTGTATATATTCAAAACAGATATTTAAGTTTAGAAAAAATACTGAGAAAGAGAGGAGGTAGGGGGGTGGAGGGGTGGAATCTGCCATTAACCCTTTTTTAATTAAGGGTGGTGATATTCAGAGATGGACCTAACCTTTAAATTAATGCATTCACCAAAAGCATTGGATATGCATCAAGCTGGGATGGAAATCATTGCAAAATTGCCAAGTTCCATTTGGCTTGTGGATGAGCAGCTTGATCATCCACCAGAGGACTCCTCAATGACCCCAAGGTCCAACATATTTTAAGGCTGTGCTATTACAATTTCTTGGCGGACCTTAGGAATTCTGTGAAAATATCATGCTCAATTACATTACTTACACCCAGGAAATCTGAGAAATGTTCCTGATTTTTCTGCAAGTATTTCCAATATTGCTGCCTTTGGTGGGGAAAGGGGGATTCTTTTGGTAGATCTCTGCTATTTTTGCTTTTTGAATATGGGTGTAGGGAGGTTCCTGAACTGTCTGGTCTACTGTCAGCGACTTTCTTTCTTTCCAGGTTTAAAATCAGCTTAAGAGGGTAGATTTGGTAGCGTTTTTCTTCATGGGCTGTAAGATTTTATTGTTAACCCTTCTTACATTTTCGACAAATACAAGAACTCAATCACCAGGTTGAAACTCTATGACCTTAGAAGACCAGTTGTATGATCAGCTTTGAGCATTTTGCACAAACTGCAAATGCTCCATGTCTATGGGCATAACGTGTGCTATTTGGTCCTGCATTTGTGCAATGGGTTTCACTATGCTCTGATAGGGTGTAGACTCTATAACCACATATGGTAGTCAATGGGAGTGTTGCCAATAAACCAACTTAAAGCGTGAGAATCTTGTGGATTATTATTATTATACAGGATTTATATAGCGGCATCAGTTTGCTCATCGCTTTACAGGCCTTCTGGCAAACAATGAGGCAGTAAACAGTCCCAGTCAGGACTATCTTTTTCAATCATCTTTTTTCAGCATCCCCTCTAGGGCTTCGTTAAACCCATCAGTTTGGGAAAGATATACAGAAGTTCATAAGTGCTTAGCCTCTTGATGCCAGCGATATGCATATGCAGTGAGTAACAGAAGTATTTGAACACCCTGCGATTTTGCAAGTTCTCCCACTTGGAGGGGTCTGAAATTCACATTGTAGGTGCATTCCCACTCAGAATTAAAAAAAAAATTCAGGAAATCACATTGTATGATTTTTAAAGAATTTATTTGTCTTGCACTGTGGAACATAAGTATTTGAACACCTAAGAAACAGCAAGAATTCTGGCTCTCAAAGACCTGTTACTGTGCCTTTAAAAAGTCCACATCTACTCCACTCATTAATCTAACTTAGTAGCACCTGTCTGAGCTCTTTAAAGACACCTGTCCACCACACAGTCAGTCAGACGCCAACTACTACTGTGCAAGACCAAAGAGCTGTCAAAAGACACCAGAGACAAATTGTGGACCTCCACAAGGCTGGAAAGGGCCTCCATGATTTCTAAGTGGGAGAACTTGCAAAATTGCAGGGTGTTCAAATACTTCTGTTCCTCACTGTATATCTCGGTGCTAAGGCCCACCCACCAAGAGGTCGCATATGTGAATGTAAACAGAGCTGTGCTCAGAGTGCACCCTACTTAGCTTTCCGACTTTTCCGATCATGTGACTGCTGTAACAGCCAATCATGGCGATTACATGATCAGAATTCACTCCCACCTCCCAGCATTAGAAACCTCTTAAAAGGCCAGGAGGTGCTGGCCTTAAGGGGTTAAAGTGGTTCTAAAGTCTGATTCCTGTATTGATCCAGCGTTGTACCTGTCTGCAGTGTCTCTCTTCCCTCGCCCCTCTATCACAGGCTTGGCTGAGAGCTCCGGGAACCATTGGCTCCTGCAATGGTCAGTCAAAATCCAGTGAGGAGGGAGTGGGCAGTCTGCCGAGCAGCACTGTATGTGTCAATGGACACACAGTCTGGCTCATTGGGGCTGGAGGCGGGTGACCCCATAAGAGGAGGTTCAGGGCTGCTCTGTACCATTTGCACAGTAGGTAAGTATAGTGTGTTTTAGTTTTGGAAAAAATAATGTAAAATGTAACTTTACAACCACCTTAATTTTAAGCATTTTGCAAGGTTCCTTCATAACCTTAGACATAAAGAGTGATCTGTGATTGGTCAAGTTCCAAGAGGGGAGCCCTGTTCTTGTGAACTTTTGAAACAACTCCGTAAGATAAACTTAGATGAGGTCATTCTCAAGGGGACCACCTCTGGATTGGGTGGCATAGTCAAGGACTACTAAAATATTTTAATGTCCCCTAGCTTACTTAACAAAGGGCCCACAAAATCCATGTCTATATGATCAAAGGGTACCTCAATAATCAGAAGCAGTAACCAGTGAATTCTGAAAATGTTCAATCTGTTATTTGACAGGTTGGCATGCCTCACAAAAGTCATTGATCTCCAGGGAAAAATGTCATCATTTGAGGTCTGGTGCATAGGCAGGTGTGCCTATATCCCCTAGATAACAAAGAAAAGAGAGATTTTAAAGCTACACTGTGAACATATGTAAACGCTTATCAAATATCCACTTGGTTAAAATGTACAAATACGAGAATAGGAAATACAAATTAAAATAACAAGAAACTGTTGGTTTACTACTGTCGATCTATTCCAAATATGGTAGTAACTATAGAAATAATCTTCCAACTTGTTTTAAATTGAATTCAAAAACTTTCAAAATGAATAGATGGATGGGTTGCATCATAAATCTCGATGTGTTTCGTGAATATCACTTCACTTTATCAGGAGTGGATGTTACTGACAGGGTATCTAAAAAAGAAAATTAAATTGAAAGTCACCATACAACCACATAGGATGGACCACATCAGTCTCATATTTTTGCAAAAAGTTGTGTACTTATAAACCAGATGCAAAAGAAAGATTATTAATTAAAACCAGAAGAACCTATGAATGGTAGCCACCAGAGAGCATGTATCCCAGGATCTATGGGACAGCAGGGACTCATATGGTCCAGCCCGAAAAAGGAGAGAGATAGACAGGAGTGGTCCACTAGGCCCACAAAGCCTACAAGAGACATGGATGGAAATATGACTACCATATACAGTACATGACCATATCACCTTAGATGTAAAGCCCATATAATCAAGAGAATAGACACCCTGTGTGAGAAAGATATGCAGAATGTATAAATGTACTGTATGCTTGAAGAAATCAAAAACCTTGAACAAGATGATGAAATAGTCCCAACATTAGTGTAATAAATAGGATCATTTGTGGCAAAGTGTGACACCTATACATATGAAAGAGTGGTGCAAATCCAAAACCTGTATAAAGTATTGAATATGAATGCTATGAGATAGGGAATGATACTGAAAGAAGAAACAGGTGAAGTTGAGGTGAATAATGAAAACAACTTGCTTATTGCAAGGGACAGATTGGGCTAACATTAGGTGGGTATTGTTAACTACTTATTGTTGGCGCCTCCTAGCCCTTTAAGGGATTTCTGATGCCAGGAGGCAGGGCAGGATTTATGATCATGTGACTGCCTGTCACAGCAATCACATGATTGGAAAGCTCTTGATTGCTCCTTGGGATGCGTTACGGTAACCATGCTGGGAGCATGCAGAGTGCGCACTTTTATATACATATGTATACGTATATATGTATACATATATGGGGCCTCTTGCCATCAAGGCCCACCCGCTAAGAAGCCACATACATGCATACTATCAGAGCAAAGAGGTTAAAGGCTAAGTTCACCTTTGTGTAAAAAGAATAAATGCACATGGTGCATGTAAAACAATTGTGCATTTATTATTTTTTACACTTTGGTCTGCTGAGCATTGCACCCATGATCAGTAGATGGGAGGTGCAATGTCCGGCTCCTGTAGATACTGCTGAGAGTTCTCTGCCTGTATCTCCCAGGCTAATAGTTTAGAGCTTGTTCACATGTGTGCCAATACCCTGTGTTTACGCAACATTTCTTCAGCATTTTTAAAGCCTCATAACCACCCTTCAACGCAGGTCATGAATTTTACAATAGCACCACACAGTGCTCTTCACACAGAAGCAGAAGCGTTGTGTTGTGTTAAAAATTAAGCAGCATGAGGCATCGATACTTGTCAACCACCTCCATTGATTTCAATGGTAATGCTCTATAACCACACCTTAACAGCACCTATAGCATTTATCACATGTTAGTGAGGCATTTATAAAGTGTTAGCTGGGTAATTGAAGAGAGGCAGTGGAGGTTCCTGTATCACAGATTGTACTGGGAAATAATAAGGAACTAGGACAGAGCA